TCTTTACACACAGCCATGCAGAAGGCCTTTAAAGGCCTCATGACAGAAAAATCATATAGATCCATTGACGTCAACTCTGAGTTGTTAAGTCATACATAGGTTTGCTACAGAACTGTTGCTAAAAGTGGCATTTTTAAAAATGAATGCAAAAGTGCCCACCATTGATGTAGTGATTTAAGGTACCTCATATGTTGGGGGGGCATTTTACATCAGTACTGTTATCTACAGTGAACAAAATATGAAAAATTACTTACACATATTACAGTTTCATACTAAATAAAAATGCATAATACCACTAAGGACTAAATCGATTTCTTACTCAACATAATTCACAGCACCACACTGTTGGACATATATCAGACTCAGATTTATGGATTAATATGTATTCTTTTGATGTATCTCTTGGGACACAAGTCACTGCTAAGAAGCACCTCTTAGGACTGTTGGTAGATTGCATTGTTAAGATAAACGCATTTTTAGGTCTAACTGTCTAATGTATTGAAATATTGAAATAAAAGAACTAAAAAACAAAAAACATCTCCTAGTGTATATTCTCTTGCTGAAATCATATTGAATTGTGTGCTCACTGGATAAAACTGCTATTAAGCATTAATCCCACCTTGTAGTCCTGTTTTTACGTCACTAGTGTAGCAGTTGAACCTAGCTTTGTTAGCTGTTTGGCTGACCTTTCTGTGTTGATGGCGATCACAACCTGCCTGAAGAAAGAATAGATTAGCTCAAATACCATGCACTGTTTCATGCTTTATCTTTCCTCCCCTCCCTATGTAATGGAGCTGGTGTCAAGGCAAGAAAAGAAAAAGAAGGCTTTTTATGTGGTCAGGGCCAAAATCAGGACAGATGCTGTCATCTGTGTCTGTGCTATAGGCCTATATTATCACAAACACTGAGCAGCTGGGGAGACATGTCAACACAGAAATGTATTTTTTATTTTATTTATTTATGTATTTTTTTTAATAAATAGTGCATTAGTCTGATTGCTCCAATGAGAAAATATATATTTCTGTTTTAAGAGCTTGATAAGAAATAACAGATAGGTGGATAAGAACAACGGTGAAGAGCAGGAACTGCTGAGGACACGAGGGGTTCAACAAACAGTAAGGAATAGAAAAACAGTAAGAAATAGAAATTGGAAACATGGTGCAGCTAGACTAATTTTTATTATAATATTGAAAAACAAGTAAATATGTTAAGCACACGCAGTACTAATACTAAATAAATAATCAGCTTCACACTATTTGCTCTAAGTGATTTAGTTAGAAGACTTCCAAATGGACAGCTACAACATGAAGATGTTAACGTTCCAGCAGTAGCAAAATTCCTGCCAAATACCATGCTCACCACCAACCACTTTCAAAACTTCTTACACTGTATTTATGCTCCAACCCTTATCCTGACTCAAAAAGGGGAAAGGAGTGGACATTATACAAGGCCTTCCTAAATAGGAAACCATTTGCGAAACCTTTTGCAATTCCCCAGGAGGACAAAATCCTTCAAAGTGGGTCATTATTGGTGTGAATCAAACGTCATTTGCCAGTCTGCATATAACCTAGATATTTCAGCCATCAAAGTCTTCTATGGGAACCAGGCCAGAGGTGGGCAATATGGTAAAGAATTAAACTCACACATTGGAGTCATATAGCCAAAAGTAGTGGTGATACAAAAAGCAGTATGTGCTTGAGGTAGAGATACTGTTGATATTAGTTTGGGAGAACCATATGCATAAGATGAAACATCACACAGGGGCAATATGAAAATAAGGAGGCTAGGCATTATTGGATAGGGTAGATGTGAACATGAAGTACGAGCTAATAATCTCTCTCAAATGCTGACATGACATATAACTTTTACAATCTTCTACAATCTTTTACAATCAAGTGTCCATTTTCATTGTGTGGGTTCTTTCTAAGGATGGGTGAGTGACATGAAATTAGGAATGAGTAATACATTCATTCCAGTGTTATCAGAGGGCTTCCACAGATGTTGGAAAATTTTGCTAAGGTGCCCCAGTCTCTGTGTGATCATGTGTTATTCCAAGTTTGGCCTCAGTGCATCAGATTAGTTTTTTGAAAAGACTAATGAGTGAGAACACATTTGTAATTAGGCTAAAAATATGTAGTTTTGTTGTGTACTTTGGCTTTTTTATAGGTCTCTGAATCTCTGAATGTGCCACTGAACTGACAACCACACTGATCTAAGAAATCACTCTATATTAGAGTTAGGATGTTTCATATTTTATACAGCAATATCCTGGGATGTGTGAAGTTTCACCTGCAGCAAAATGTTGCCTTCTTTATTTGGGGTTGGACTTTAGTGTATAAGCAAAAAACTTTCCCATTCACTGTGTTTTCATGTTGCTAAATGCAAATAGTAATAAATAATCTTTTCCAGCGTTTCTATAGTAAAACAATAAAGGGGAATCAGGGGCTCAGAATTACTGGCAGCAAATCTCATGTTTCTAACAAGAGCCAGATTGACATGACTGTTTTAAGTCTTTATTTATATATATTATTTATATTACTTACTTACTTACTTATGACTGTTTTGTGTAGCATCTATAGACTGTATAAATGGACATAGCTAACCCGGTAGCTGATTTGTGATCAATGCAAGCGTCCATGGTCCTGTTTAAGGAGTTTGATTTTAAACAAAAAAATGTGAGAGTGACTTATTGATAACCTGCTAGCTAGCTTTTGACAGTAATTTTGCATGCGAGAAACTTGTTTAAGCACTCAAATCATCTCACCTGTTGTAGATTCAGTTTTCAAGTAGGCTCCTTCTGATCAGATTGTGTTCAAATAAAGCTCACATTAGGTTTAAGGAGTAGAAGAGCTTCCAAAAGCAGTGCTTTTAGTTATCTTCACACCCCCAGAGAATGCTGTGATGACATTAGACGCAAAGTATCAAACACCGACCGCTCCAGTGAAGTCCTTATCCCACTTCTTTATACAGTCTGTGGTAGCTCACTTAACTTGAGATAAGTTCTACACATTATCAGTCTGGCTCTTTGAATTAAAGACCAGCTTTGTTTTGGTTAGGTTACATAAAGAGGCTTAATGGATTCTATGCAGTTTTCTGACTGAAATTTTGATCGACAAGCTCTTTCTGTAAAACGAATTAAGCAATATTTTACCAATTAAATGTTTGTATATTGCTTATTTAATTTGCATTTCGCGCTACTTGGACACCCAGTCTGTTTAAAATCTTAACGCTTTGAAGGGCCTGTAACTTACCTGTGTCTTCAGGAAAATGTTGTCATACCATATGCAATGTGGTTTTCGTAGCAAATTATTGATTTGCAGCGCCATCTGCCGACCTGAGACCTACGGTGTCTTTTTTTCCGTCTTGGCCCTGAAGCCATGAGCTCCTTCCGAATTTGTCAAATTGGTCAAGACGCTCCTAGCTCCCCAAGCCAAAACCGGAGGAGTGTCACCGTCTGCCATGATAAGGCCTGTCTGAATATTCTGTTTACCCTCACTTGCTTATTGTCCTTTGTGACAAGGACCATCCAAATTAATCAGTAAGGTTAGGAAGGAGTAAGGAAAGGAGTAATTATGCTTCCTTTCATAGCTCCTTTAGCATAGGAAGCTCAGGGTTCCTAACCAGCCAGGTATCCCACTGCGCTGATCAAACTAAATGTTTCCAAATACTACTGTACAAGTTACAATTACAGATAAAGCATAACTACTACTGAGCCATATGCATAAACTAAAGCGCTGAAAAAAACTGCTCCCTCCTTGTGCCCTGATGCAGTCATCTTCTGTTGGACTAAAGGACAGACTCAGTGGAATATGCTTTTTCTCTGTGACAGAGGGATGTGCCATTGATGATGAGTCTGTTTTGTACATATGTGGTGTTGGAGATGGTTCTTTTTTTTTCAGAGATTAAATGTGTACAGGTTTAGAGTAGCTCTTTATTTAGCAGCATTCATTTATGTAGACTATCATTGTAATGAAAAGACTGAAAGGTTTAAAAGGTCTCAAAAGACTCAACGCAGTAGTGGAGGTCTGGGAGTTGTAATTTTCACTGTAGTTCCCGCCACTGGTTAGGAGGATCCGGATCCACCTAAAGTAGCAATATCTCCTTCTCCTCACTGTTCCTTCCTCCTCCTTGGTCCTTATAGTTGACCTAATGACATATCTCTCAGAAGTCAGCGATAAGGAGAAGAAAAGACAAGGACAGAGGTAGTTTTGCCCAATTTCGGATGGAGCCATGGAGTCTGTATGCTTCATTTTGTAGCTCCTTCCGCATGGGACCCTCCGGAGCAGTGGTACAGAGAGGACGCAGTACCATTCCACAATCCAGTGCCATTTACCACTTAAAGATTTCTGAAAATAGCTTTTTTCTGCAGGAGAGTTTGAAATGCATTCAACGTTTCATTGCCTCAGATATTTTACAACCTATCTGGATAAAAACAAAACTTAATGCCGCATTTCTAATTTGCATAAACTATGCTAATGGAGGCCATGCACCACTGTATGATTTTAAGGACAGGATTTAGTGGAATATTTATTGGGACAGAGGACAGAGCAGACAGAGCAGAGGCTGCAGCTGAAGAAAAAGTTTTCAGAGTCTGTAAGGTTTATTGCAAAGCTATTTTTCCCCCAACAGCAGCATCTTTCACATCCAAATATTTTAGTAATTTAAGTACATTGTCATGTTGAAATGTTCATTAAAATCAGTAGAGGAGAATAGGGAGCGCATATTGTAGTCCATTTTGAGGGTGTAGTTGTTTTTATCAAACAGCTGTAGTGTCATGTGACTTTGCTGTTTTTCCAGCTTTTGGTTAGGACCTAATAGATCCATGGTTAGGACGGTCGGATTCTCCAAACGCAGCTGAAGCTCCTTCTCGTCTCTGTCAAGGACTCTTAAGGTCGACTCCGTGACGTAGCTCCAAAGGTAAAGAGGTTAGGAGCTAGGATCTGGGATCTAGGACCTAGGCACTATGATGTGAATAATTCGAAACGAGCCGATCTATTCACGCGCAAGCGTGACGTAGGACGTTTCTTGCGCACGCAGTATAAAGTCTTGTTGTCTGACGTCAACTGTCTCTTCCCTGCCTACGCCTGTGTGAGGTGGGCAGTGTAAAACTTGCTCTGTTTTTCACCAAGCGAATCCACAACCATCCGCAAAAATGGTAAGCTCATTTTGTATCATATAATGTCATATACTACCACAATACTAATTCCTATCACGTATCAAATGTTGGGGTATGTTAGGAGCTTTTTAATGGGAGGTACGAGGTAGGCTAATATGCGGTGGTTGTCACAGTAGCTAAATGGCAACCATTTTGTCTTTTTTAAAGATTTTGTATTTATAATTTCAAAGCGTCTTCTTGGTTAGATTAGTTGTTTCTTGTTGTAGTTTTTAAGTTGCAACTAAAGTGTTATGCGCTGCAGTGTGTTAACCCTAAAGCTGTAGCGTCAGTGATTCTTGTAGCGGGTGTTGGCTGTTTAGTGCGCAGGCGGCTTTAGCATCCCAACTAGTGAACGAAAACCTGTATGTCATCTCCGAATGCGTGTGACATATTATTTTTACCGCACACATGGCAAGATCTCCTGTATTATCTTGTCTGTAGCTCGTCTGACGCGGTGTTAAACGTGTGTAGGCTGTTGTTGTATGTACCGGCATTTTTTGCGGCCTAGCAGCAGCAGCGTTATCTAACATTAGCCGCTAGCTGTATACCGCTGTACACGTGGCCTGATCCTACGGGTGACCAGATCCCTTTTGTATTACATGAAGCCTGTTATGATGCAAGAGTTCTGCGACTGTTCTGGCATTGACATTAGCCTTCTGTGTCAAAACTCGTTAAAGATTACTGTCCAGTTTGTATTAAAGCTTGAATAAGACCTTAACTTCCTTATTGCCATGTTATTAAAGATTCCATAATGCGCTGTCGGTCATGTCGTCACACTACATAGCCCTTTCAGTTAGCCTTATGATAAACCTATGAAGCACTTCTAAACCGGAAGCTTAACCCCATAAATTCCATAATATTTGACTCAATTTAAAACTATAATGGTATCAGATGTATTATGGCCATTGTTGTTATTGGGCAATGCTTTGTTTTCATGTAAGACTTCCTTTCTCCACAGGTGAACTTCACCATAGACCAGATCCGTGCCATCATGGACAAGAAGGCAAACATCCGTAATATGTCTGTGATTGCGCACGTTGATCATGGAAAGTCTACGTTGACTGACTCGCTGGTGTCCAAGGCCGGTATCATCGCCTCAGCTCGTGCTGGAGAAACTCGCTTTACTGACACACGTAAAGATGAGCAAGAGCGGTGCATCACCATCAAATCAACGTGTGTAAACTTTGTGCAACACATGCAGTGTTAAAATGTTAATTCTGTTTTATTCACTTGTTGGTTTTACCTCTTTAGTGCAATCTCCATGTACTACGAGTTGTCCGATGATGATTTGGCCTTCATCAAACAGGGCAAGGATGGCTCAGGTTTCTTGATCAACTTGATTGATTCCCCTGGACACGTGGATTTTTCTTCAGAGGTGACCGCTGCCCTGCGTGTCACTGATGGGGCCCTCGTTGTTGTAGACTGTGTGTCAGGTAACCATTTCAAAGTTTCCTGTTCATTAAAATGAATATTTGTATTGTGAAAGCTATAACTTTCCCCCTTTGCCAGGTGTCTGTGTGCAAACTGAGACAGTGCTCCGTCAAGCCATTGCTGAACGCATTAAGCCTGTCCTCATGATGAACAAAATGGACCGTGCCTTGTTGGAGCTGCAGCTTGAAGCAGAGGACCTTTTCCAGACATTCCAGCGTATCATTGAAAATGTAAACGTCATCATTGCCACATATGGGCTGCTACAAGGGGGACCAATGGGAGACATTGAGGTGAGCTTGCATACTTGCCTTGTGTGTTGTGCATGTTTGTTTTGCACTGGCGGCTTTTAGTCTGTCTGATACTGACATTTGTGTCTTAGATTGACCCTGTCAAGGGTACTGTTGGCTTTGGCTCTGGGCTCCATGGCTGGGCATTTACTCTAAAGCAGTTTGCTGAGACATATGCAAAGAAATTTGTAAAGCCAGGTGAGAACCCAACTCCAGAAGAGAAGGCCAAAAAAGTAGAGGACCTGATGAAAAAGATGTGGGGTGACAGGTGAGGGTTTTTTCATCGGGAACTTTGATTTTTAATCATCATAAGCAGCTTACCATCTAAGCATTTGTATTGGTATAGTGTTTGCTTGTAGATGGTATTTTGCTTATCCTGACTTTTGCATCTCATTGAATGAGGCATGCATTTATTGCATGCATATTCGCTTGATGTAGAACAGTTTTTACATGTTTACAATTAACGCAAATGTTTAAGTTAGTTATTTTGTTTTTACTGTTAAGACAACTGAGGTCATATTGTCACTTGTAATTGAGAAGAGAACTATACTAACATAGTTTTACTTTACTTTACAGGTGGTGCGATCCATCTACCGGAAAGTTTAGCAAGACCAATACTGATGGCAAATTGGTGCGCTCCTTTGTGTTCTTTGTCCTGGATCCAATCTACAAAGTGAGTTTTTGCCTCATGTTGAGCAATGTTCAAGTGCCCTTGAGTGATCAGTTTCCAGAATAAAATGCCTGCAGCTGATGAATACAATATTCTTCACTTTGACCTGATTTTTATATAGTGATGATAAATTTTTGTCTGATAATGGCATGGAAGTCTTTGGCTTTGTGTTCCCATGGTTTATATATTGTTGTTAATCTTGTTTTAAATCTGTCGTAGATGTTTGATGCCATCATGAATTTCAAGAAGGAGGAAGTGGCCAAAATGATTGATAAACTGAACATCAAGTTGGATGCTGAGGATAGAGACAAGGAGGGTAAACCTCTGCTGAAAGCTGTGATGCGTCGTTGGCTGCCTGCTGGTGAGGCTCTGCTTCAGATGATAACCATCCACCTGCCTTCTCCTGTCACCGCTCAGAAGTACCGTTGTGAGCTTCTCTATGAAGGGCCCAGTGACGATGAGGCAGCCATGGGTAAGACTTACAGTGGACAGGGTATATATAGAATCCTTTTCAATACTCACAACTTTTATTTTCCTCAGGTATTAAAAACTGTGACCCCAAGGCTCCATTGATGATGTACATCTCCAAGATGGTCCCAACTTGTGACAAGGGTCGCTTTTTTGCCTTTGGTCGTGTATTTTCTGGGGTTGTCTCAACTGGCCAGAAAGTTCGCATCATGGGACCAAATTATATTCCTGGAAAGAAGGAGGATCTCTACCTTAAGCCTATTCAAAGGTTTGTACACTTTAATTTGCATTGGGTTAGAATAGTTGACAGCTATATTAAATATATCCTTGATACTTCAGGACCATTTTGATGATGGGTCGTTACACTGAACCCATTGAAGATGTACCATGTGGGAACATTGTTGGGCTGGTTGGAGTGGACCAGTTCCTTGTGAAAACGGGAACAATCTCAACCTTTGAGCATGCACACAACTTGAAAGTGATGAAGTTCAGTGTCAGCCCTGTTGTAAGAGTTGCAGTTGAGGCTAAAAATCCTTCTGAACTGCCCAAGCTGGTTGAAGGGTTGAAGCGCCTCTCCAAGTCTGATCCTATGGTGCAGTGCATCATTGAAGAATCTGGAGAGCACATTGTTGCTGGGGCAGGAGAGCTGCATTTGGAGATTTGTTTGAAGGATTTGGAAGAGGATCATGCTGGCATTCCACTTAAAGTAAAATTTTTATTTATAAATGGTCAAATTCCCTGTGAATTTTTATTAAAGTTGCAATGTACCCTTTCAGAAATCAAACCCTGTGGTGTCCTACAGAGAGACGGTCCAGTCAGAGTCCAATCAAATCTGCCTGTCCAAATCTCCAAACAAGCACAACCGTTTGTTCATGAAGGCACGTCCTCTTGAGGAAGGTCTTCCTGAAGACATTGACAAGGGTGAAGTTTCCGCTCGACAGGAGTTAAAGATCCGTGCTCGTTACCTTGCTGAAAAATATGATTGGGATGTTGGTGAGGCCCGTAAGATCTGGTGTTTTGGCCCTGATGGAACTGGACCAAACATTTTGGTGGATGTTACCAAGGGAGTTCAGTACCTTAATGAGATTAAGGACAGTGTTGTGGCTGGATTCCAGTGGGCATCCAAAGAGGTAAACAAAACTGACTAGATTTTTATTTTTGGTGTACTGGTCAAAATGGTACTAAAATGATTTCATTCTTTTAGGGTGTTCTTTGTGAGGAGAACATGCGTGGCATCCGTTTTGATATCCATGACGTGACCCTGCATACAGATGCTATCCATCGTGGTGGTGGACAGATCATCCCCACTGCCCGCAGAGTACTTTATGCTTGTCAGCTTACAGCTAATCCCAGAATTATGGAGCCAGTCTATCTGGTGGAAATCTCGGTACGATTATTAAAATTACTTGTAAACGCATTACAGTATTTGTTTTTCTAACCAGAATTCCAAAATGTTAGTGTCCCAGTGAGGCGATTGGAGGAAGCTATAGCGTCTTGACCAGGAGAAGAGGGATTGTGTTTGAGGAGGGCAGTGTTTCTGGAACACCAATACACGTTGTCAAGGCCTACCTACCTGTCAATGAGTCATTTGGTAAGAATTTTTGGAAAATGTATATGAGGGGTCTCCATTTACTGTTAAATTTACAAGCATTGTCATTCTTCCCCAGGTTTCACAGCTGATCTGCGTTCAAATACTGGTGGACAGGCCTTCCCTCAGTGTGTATTTGACCACTGGAAGATCCTTGATGGAAATCCCTTTGAGGCTACATCCAAGCCTGGGCAGGTTGTTGCTGAGACACGCAAGCGCAAGGGGATCAAGGAGGGTATCCCTCCCTTGGACAACTACTTGGACAAACTCTAGAAACTTGGCTTAACTCATTCCACATCTATAGATTTTACTTAAAATTGTGGGACTGCACAGAAAAGTGAAATGTTTGCCAAAATAATTGACAAGGATAAAACTTAATAAAAAATTGTAAACCTCATAAATAATAAAAACATCAAAATTATTGGTCTGTAGTGGTGTTGTTGTTTTTTGCCTGTTTAAGTGAAAGCAGTTAAGTTTTATGCAAGTAGATCAGAAATTAACACTGTCTATTAAAGGAGTTATTGACCAGAATTAGTGTTGGCTTATGGTACACAAACTCCTGATAGGTGAGTTGTTTTCTAAAATGTATCTTAATTTTATCAGAGTACTATGAATATAGGTTTAGAACTACAGTACATTATTGTTGGTGTACACAAGACATGGAATTGTACACAACTATATATGGTTAAACACTGCAATACATTTTTTTTTGGAAGTTTTTGTCATCCACAAAAGCCTATTCAGGGATATAACATGTTATTTAATCCAAACACGTTGCAGAGGGTCGAATACAAACGCTTGAGCCTTTTTCACAGAGGCCTTGATTTTCAACCAATCATGAAGGCTCATTTCAGCCAATCAGATCGTCGATAGACGGAACTCTTCCTGTTTGACCAAAGGCTGTGGTGAGTTTTATTCAGTCTCTTGCTTAAGACGACGAATTAATGATCATATTTGGTGTTCGTGGTCTAGATGTTTTCCCGTTGACAAATTCACACGGTTTACGGTTATTGATTTTGTTGTGGAATGATTTCGGCTGATTCACTGCACGTAGGAAGCGCACGGACCCGCTGCTAACTATACATTTAGCGTGAAGAGATTGTGAAGAAAGGTAAATATTATGACTTCGTAGTTTCAATTACACGGTCTGTGTCTGCACTGTGTTATAACAGAGAACCGCCAAGCATTGGCACAGGCTCATCATTATGGGAGGAATTAAACAGGAACATGGTGATGCGCAGCAGCACAACCCCAAGTCCACACATTCACCCGACCAGCCGGCAGAAGAGGTAAGCTTAGGCCCATGTCCCTTTGTGAGTTGCTCTACGGATTTTAATCAGCACTACCTGTAGGTCGATATCAGAAAACTCAACAATCGTAATCGTTTAACCTCTGTCATGTGTTGCGTTGTTTATCACAAACCTAAAAACATTATAGGCCAATTTGTAAACCAACCAAGGCCTTTCAATTACTTTCAGTTATTTTATTTCACAGCCAAAGAAAAGAGGCTGGCCAAAGGGGAAAAAAAGAAAGAAGGTGCTACCAAATGGTCCTAAAGCGCCAGTCACTGGATATGTAAGATTCTTGAATGAACGGCGAGAACTTATGCGAGCCCAGTACCCTGATTTACCTTTCCCAGAAATTACCAAGAGACTTGGAGCTGAGTGGACAAGATTAGCCCCCCACGACAAACAGGTAAATCTGATGATTAAATAATGAATTAAAATACTATATGATGATCATCAAATCTGGAATTGTATTGTAAATCTAATTTGTTATGTTGAACAAAAGGATGGTATATATACACTTACCTTGTATTTGACAGCGCTATCTTGATGAAGCTGAACGTGAGAAAATGCAGTATGCTCAGGAGCTGAAAGAGTATCAACAAACAGAGGCTTTCCATCTCACAAATGCCAAAATACAAGACAAGAGAGTAAAAAAAGGTAGATGTACAAAGAATCTGACAGTATCTTAAGAGTTGTCTATATTTGTGCCTCAACTAACAAAGACCTTTTTTTTTCTCGCTTTTTTTTTTTTTTTTTTGGTGCTAAATGGGAGAAGAAGACACCCCATCGGCCTCTGCAACTGTTCATTCTGGACTCTCTTTATCAAAGGTGCATAAGATAGCAATTTTGAAAGCTTTCTATATCATTACCTTGTTACAATGTAAAAACTGCATTTCTTATAGGCCCCAGAACTACACAGCAGATTTGATGTTCCTATTTTCACAGAGGAGTTTCTTGATCAAAATAAAGGTAATTTGACTGAACCTGAAGTTAAAGGTGCACTATTTAAGTTTTCTGGTGAAGGGTCTGTCAGTGCTTATCTTATGAAAACTTTATTGCGTGGAATGACATATTTCTTGATAAAAATTGTTTAGTGGTCTGTCATCTGCTTGTCTCCAAGACAAGATAGACATGTTTTATGCCATTTTGCTAAACATTCCAGGAAGAAAGACATAATTAGGTGACTGTACGTTGTTTCCAAAGAGTAAGTTAGGCTATGAGGTAAAAAAATGTCATGTTTGAAATAGTCTATTATAATAATCATGACTAAATTTGACTGTCTAAATTTTGTTTTTTGTTTCTTAAATAATCACTTGTGTCCAGCTCGAGAAGCTGAACTGCGTCGTCTTCGAAAGGCAAATATAGAGTTTGAAGAGCAGAATGCCGTGCTGCAGAGACACATTAAGGATATGTACAATGCCAAGGAGCGGCTGGAGGCCGAGCTGGGTCAGGATGAGCAAAGAACTCAGGCTCTACAGAAACACCTGCAGGCTATTAAACAAACACTGGTCAACAGTCTGTCAACAGTCCCCTTACCAGGTGGGAGCCATTCTTGCTTATTATTACAAAGGGTTAATGTGATCTACAGTTTTATGTCTTGTGTATAACAGGTTCAGGTGAGACTGCATCTCTTGGTAACTTGGATTCATATTTGAGTCGTCTCAGTGGAGTCCTGGAGGGAAACCCAGATAGACACCGTGCCTTGCTACGACAACTGTGTGAGGTTTTATCACATTTTGACAGGTAAATAATCTGATAGTGAGGTAAATGTATTCGTAAATTCTCTGATCTAATTTGATTGCCATGTTCAATTTCCTGACAGTGAGAAATTATAAAAAGGATTCTTTCAAGGATCGAAATTATTATTTTGTTACAAATTGTGCCATAAAGTTCACATGGATATGCTGACCGTCACATCACCTATTACGTACAAATGAGAGGAAACAGCCCAAAGCCTTTGGTGACTTTGCAGTGAAAAAAGTTGATGCTATACTGTCAATTCTAGATATGAACAAGTGTTTATACAGATAAGATAGCAGCTACTTATTTTTTTACCATGTACTAAAACAACCTGATTTTTTTTTTCTTTTTTTTTAACTCATCAAGGTTCCTTCAAGGATAACATTACCAACAGACAGGCTTTGGTAAACCACTGGAGATTATGTTATGATATGTATAAATCCATGCAGCATTCTTTTTATACAATAATTCCTTTCAGATCTTATTTGCCTTGAAATGTCTGTATATATTATGGCTGATTTACAGTTTACAGTTTTGTGAGAATGCTGGAAGTAATACTGTGAAACTGCAGTAATAATGTGAGCAGGGTTTAATAATAATTTTGTATTACATTGTTTATTAGATTTCAGAAAATAATATGGTCCTTTGCTTTTTTTTTATCCATTATTACACAATTGTTGAGCACACATCGTAACCTTTTTTATTTACTGGATAGTTTTTTAATGTAAAATAAAACTGTTAAAGAGTGATTTTAATTTGTGTTTATTTAAAATCAGAGCATTGTTATTTATACTTTGATGTACCAGCAGAGGGCGGTATCGGTCTACACATGAGCAATAAGGTTTGCGCTTAAGCACCTTTGCTTAAAGTATAGTCCTGTGATGTTGAAGGATAACCAATTTAAACAATAGGCTAAACGATGTATGCGTTTGAGTAATGTTTCTAAAATATTTCATAAGGGTCTTAAACCATGGATCTAGTTATAAACATATTTGCACATATTTGCATATTCTCTGGACAGTCCTTTTGATTAAAGCTAATTAGGTAATAAAGCCTCATTTCACATTTGTTAATGGACATGTAGTGTTAATAGATGTAGGCTTAAATAAAACAGGCCCTACCCCCCACCGCCCTGCTCCATACACGACCCACCTGACGTCAGCAGAGGTCCACGCAGCGTCACTCACAGCAGCAGCAGCAGCGAAGAGCGGTGCTGAAGCTGAACAAGATGGCTGTGTGCTGGCTGGTGCAGGAGCTGAAAGGAGGACCCAAGAATTAGACTCAAACCCAAAGGACACGTCTCACTAATACATCCGGTGGCTACAACACTAGGGAACGTGCTTAAACCCAACGATTAAAGCCGAAACTTCGCCATTTTTGTTAATTTACCGAAAGGAGGCTGGTCCATCTCAAGCCCACCCATTCAGTCTTGGGTTGAAATTTGCACAAATTAGCTTGCTACCAAGAGCTGGTCAAGAAACTGGAACTACTAACTAAAGGCCCCTTAAGAGATGTCATTGCTCTGTGTTGGAGGTAAGAAAATCGCTGCATGTATATGGATATTCTATACTAGACTACTATTTAGGCTACTCTGCTGCCAGTAAGTTCTTAATCCTGAGGTTTTATGTGGACTTTATTGTAAAGCTTTGCAAGAAGTAGCAAGAAGAAGACTGTCAGCACTATTGTACCTTATTGTAGGTTTCTGTCATTTGAAAATATAAATAAATAAAATAGCACTATTGACACTGATCTAACAATAGCCTAGTATAATGTAATAGTGGTCATTTTGAATGTGTTGGCTCACCGGAATGAAGGCTCCAGTATCATGCTATTTTTCGTTGATGTTTGATTGGCGTCTAACCTATATTGCATCCACATCCTCCCCATATTCTTCTGTCCTATGAGGACTGGGATTATCGAGAACTATTCTCTGTCGGAGGTCTGCTTTCATATTGCTACTGATGTTAGAAGTTCTTGATGTGATGTGATATGTTATGGCATAAAAGCTGAACAAGCATTTTGCTTGGCTATTTCTGGTCTTCCCTCTAGTACAACGATAATGTCAGTGTTTTTCTGTTGTTGAATTCCAGTGTGATGGTATGTGATATACTAACAACAACAAATATGGCATAATAACCAGTCAACAAAATTCCAGAGGCCCAAAGCCTGTTTAGATAAATAGGTCATAGGTCAAAGCAGAATAAGCAGCTTGGTTCAAGATGACAGAAAGACATCAAAAACAAAAGAAAAATATTTTTCATGCACACCACATTGTGCATGAAAAACCTGACAGGCCACTAAAATCAATGACATTTCTTGTGTGCAAGCATATCTTGATGTACAATGATTCATGGTACGGTGAATGTAAATGTCAATTCCCTGTACACGACTAAAATAAGACACCATTGCGTGAGATTTCGCCTTGAAGCTAATATTAATTTTCAGTCCTTCGTGTTGCAGTAGTGAGTCCGCTCCTATAAGCTTGGGTGGAAGTGCCCACCTCACCACCCCCTCTTTCTGGCACCCCCCTCGCTGTCACACTCAAGTGGTTATTTTTAGTGTTGGGGATGCAGCTCACTCGCTCTGCTCACATCCGGCTGCATGGAGAGATTAATAGAGCACGAGCAGGAGAGCTAGAAGGGAGCACACGTGCTCGCGCGCCACATGGCATCAGGGGGAGGCTGGTAGCTGTGGGGGAGGCAGAGGGGCATGTCTCATTCAGAGTGGGCGAGAGAGGTAGAATATGCATGAGAGAGAGAGTCGTGGCAGCTGTGTCATGCATCTGTCTGTTAAAACAATAAGAATTACTTGTATGAATGTTAATCAACTAACTGGCCTGTAGTTCCAGTGCTTTTAGGAAATTTCTGCAAATTTCATGAACACACTTGTCAGGTGCATTGAGTATGTCTTGCTTTTTTTTAAAGATTCTGTTTGTGACTTTGTTTTTTACTTATGCTGTCAGTAAAAAAAGGAAAGCTTGATGGACCACAAGGTTAGTTGTGAACTTCTGCCTTTTTTTTTTTTGTTTATTTGAGACATCAGCATAAAAAAACATCTGTCTCTTTTTGTGTTTCACACTTTACAGAGAAATTTAATACCTATGTGACACTGAAGGTGCAGAATGTCAAGAGCACAACTATCGCGGTGCGCGGCAGTCAGCCGAGTTGGGAGCAGGACTTCATGTTGTAAGTCTTTTAGTCTCAAGGATTTAACATGACTGTAGGGCAATAAAGTATGTGAACTGTGAACTGCTATACGTCTGTCATCATGTGTGGCAACCTTTGTATCTTTTTAAGATAAGATTTCATTCTGTACCATATATCATTATCCAGTACAGTGCATAATGCAGAGATGTATCCACTATTTGTTTATTCATTTACTGCTGTAGGAACTGAAGAAACAGTAATGGTGATCTTTTAAAGTCAACCAGTAGATGAATCAAAACTCAGCAAACTCTTTTGCTCATATCCGACCCTTTCCCATTTGTTGAATTTAGGGTTAAATTGCTTTTATCTTGTTGGAAAACAGGGCTATATTAAAAATACTCCATGGTCATATTAAAAAGATGACGTACTGGACTTCTCTGAAGACATTGCGCTGTTCTGTACAGCACTCTATCAAATTGAGTTTTTCTTGTCTCTGCTCTCTCTAACCCACTTACGATTTTCTTTAACTGCAGTGAAATAAACCGCCTGGATCTGGGCCTCACAGTGGAGGTGTGGAATAAGGGGTTAATCTGGGACACCATGGTGGGAACTTTATGGATCCCTCTGAGCAACATAAGGCAGTCCAATGAGGTACACTGTCTGTTTGCCCATTCATTACCATTTAACATGTTGGCTGGTCAAATTTGATAGTTTCATACAATAATGCATTGCATTTAATGGAGAAAAGGGTTTGCATGTTATGAAAAAAAAACAGTACAGTAAATTAGAAAATGTCAAAGAGCTAGTTCTGTTAGCAATAGCAAACAAATGCATCAGGTTAGCTGAACGCAAAAGAAACCAGTATAAATTATGTAGGGCATAAAGGCATGTAATAAATCAAATGTGACAATATTGTAATGTAGAATCACTAAATGCTTCTTGGAATGGGATGTAGAGCTACTTAGGTGGAACAAGCTCTGATTAAGTAGCAACAACCTGTGAATGACATCTTTTACAGGAGGGTCCAGGTCAGTGGCTGACTTTGGATTCAAATGTGATCATGTCTGAAAATGAAATCTGTGGAACAAAAGACCCAACGTTTCACAGACTGCTGCTGGATACACGATTTGAACTGCCACTAGGTATGAAATTCGGTTTTTGACATTTTAATACATTATCATTAATAATCTTTACAGTAACCTCTATATTATGTTTCTGTAGACATTCCAGAAGAGGAGGCTCGCTACTGGGCAAAAAAACTTGAACAGCTAAATGCAATGAGGGACCAAGATGTAAGAATTTTAATTTCTTTATTTATTTTGAACTTTTTTTTTGAGCATGATCATATTATGTGCACATGTACAAGCAAAAATACAACATCACTATAAACATTACCATATTCAATTATTGACAGACACTTTTTTATATGTCCATGTTGTATGTGCAGTGTAGTTACCCTTGACTGTTTTTCAGTATCAGGAGGAACAGGAGCGGCCCCTGCATGCTCCATCCACTCAGTGCTGTAAGTACATCCTTGTGTGTTTAATCCTGTCTGTCTCTTTCTCTCTTGTCTCACACTGCTTCTTATTCCCGAAACCAAAAACAGAGCCAGACACAAGGCAGAAATTGGGCTGATAGATGAAGCAGAGGAAGGAGGGAGGAGAGTTGATTTGATGAATCACTTGAACAAGCCTGTCAGAGCACCAGAATGACTTATAAGTGTTAGATGTGTGATGAATGTGATCTGACATATGCTGAGTTGTCAGACACACACTGACCTGTCTGTCTATTTTTTTGTTTGTTTGTTTGTTTGTTTTTTATTGAGCTAAGTAGAGTAATATTATTATTTTAAAGTGGGACTAAACACTAAATCAACATAATTGAGTACATGGCATATAGATACTTTTTCTACTGCTCCTTTTTGTTTACCACAGCTTTGTGGTCGAAAAATGTCCAAGAAGAGTGTATTCTAGCTACAATTAAACTCTGCCATTGGGTTTAAGAGGCCTGTGACATCACACACCTCTGATGTTATGAGAGGCACACACCTGCCAAGGGACATTGCCCAGTTTAACAGCTCCTTTGTGTGTTATTGATCCTGCTCACATTTTATATTAACTTCAAATAATACCTCTTCACACCCTTGATCCCAATATATTTGTTAATTAAGTTTTTGATTTCGTCTCAAATCCCCAAACTCAATTTAGAGTTTTAATCTTTTATTTCCTTGCAGGCAATTGGAGTCTCTGGGGCGATCAACAAAGTAAGTTTTGACCATGCACTTTTGATTTGAAAATACAAGCTACTATCTAATGTTAACGTTCATTATCTTTTCTTTATTTCAACAGACGATGACCCTGACAGTGCAGTTGATGACCGGGACAGTGACTACCGCAGTGAGACCAGTAACAGCATCCCCCCTCCATACTACACCACCTCACAGCCCAATGCTTCCATGCACCAGTATCCCATGAGGCACCAGCACTACAGACACTCCTACAGCGATGACATGCACGAGCTGGACTATGACCACAGAGCTATGAGGTACGAATGTATCCATTTGAAGTTATCAAAATATAAGAACTCTCATTAAGGAATAAAGACATGTAGAGATTATTTACCCATAATATTATTTTATGGTACAGCCAAGCCCCAGTGGCATTGTGTTGTTTTGATGTTTTTTTAACATGTCCCATTGTGCTCTCCTCCCCTAGAGATTAACCCAGGTCTCAGTGTATACAAGTCTGCCTCTTGTATACAGGCTGTGTGTGTATGGGGCCACTGTGGTTATTGTGTAAGAGTAGTGCAAGAGTGCATGCATAGCCATTATGTCATCTGTGGACATCCGTGCCCCCTTTTGGTAGTCACATGAAAATAATAAACAAAAGAAAAGGAGTACCTCAAAGACTTATAAAATTCAAATAATTATAATGCAGACTTGAATATATGTGTATTGCACATAAAGGTCACCCATCTGTAAAAAATCTCCACTACAATAGCTGCTCTGGCTACTACTTATTATTACTTAATGCTACTCTACCCCATGTGTAATTTATACAAGTATAATTTCTTTAAAATGTAGTTACCACAATGGTGTTGATTAGACCCTCATTCTCATTTTGGCAAGGTGTTTGCTGAAGACTGGCTTGGCTCATAATGTGTCACTCTGCTCAAAGCTGCCCCCTCTGAGCTGAACTGATGCTCTTCTCCTGCCTCTTCCTTCTCCCACCTGCTCTGCTGCTGCCACCAGACACTTTGATAGTTTAGACTCAGCCACCAACGGGCGCAGCGATATGGACTCAGGCTCAGGGTCAAGCCGCCGCACCAGTCGTCAGTATTCTCTAGACAGTAGGCATTCACTGTCCGATAGGTGGGTCTCTGCACTGTACCTCCTCTTCTCCAAACTCTTCTCCTGCTCCGGCCTGTGGCTCCGTCCCGCTGTGACGTCAGTGGTGGACTTGTCCCGTCCTCCTCGCTCGCTGTTGCTTGCATGCGCTCATACCCTTTTTATCTCTGTACATGTATTACATTTTTCAATTGAATCTGCATACTTTTACTTTTCGCAGTGTAGAAAATAGGCAGTTTAGTGTCATCTTATTTTTTAAAAATCGTGTATTTGCATTTTGTTGACCTATGCCTGCTTGTTATTTATTATGTAACAGAGTTTATTTAAGTGTGTGTGAAAATGTCTTATGTGTAGCTCTGTTGTCCTGACAGCCACTTATTAGCACGTCATCCTGTGAACCCTGGCTTTTCAGGGATGCTTGGTAATTATGCACAGTTAATTTCTACTTTCAGCCCTCTAATGGGGATCTTGCAGAGGACCCTAGACAGATTACCTTAATTTTTATCTTCGTTTGCTTCTTGAGGACAGATGCTTTGTGTTTGGTGAAAAAACAGGGCCACTGACTTTTCTATTTTATAAATTGATATATTGTGGTACTTTTTTAGTTGTTATTTGTGGCTATTTTCTTTGCCAGACTGGTTATTTAAAGTGATGTGAAGTATGTTGATAAATCTTGCGGTGCAATTGTGCTCTTGTATGTCTCTGTGGCTTGTAAGTGTTACTATATGTTGTTCTATTTTATTCAATGTTTTTAATATAATATATACAATATTATTATTAACCATGCTTCCCAAATCCAATCCTCTGCGTGGATGATACTAATATGATTGGATGTTTTAAACCATTCTCCCTCTTTACTTGGACTAAATGTAGAATTTCATATCTCTATTGCACCTATCTGGAAAAACCCTTAATCTTTATTTAAATGCTCAATCTGTCTTCTTTCAGCCCAACAGACAGCCGATACGCATCCTCTGGTGAGTTGAGCCGAGGCAGCTCCCAGCTCAGCGAGGAGTTTGTCCCAGAGGACGGAGAGAGCTTACGGGGATCTGAGTTTTACGATGAGAACGATTCCTACCACTCCTGCCACTCGTCTGTCAGCTACGGCAAAGAGGATTCCCCAGGCTGGGAAGGAGAGGATGCACAGGGAGTCTATAGTGACGAGGGAGGTTATATCAAAGATGGAGGAGAAGGAGGAGCACTTTATGATGAAGACGGAGATATGTACGGAGAGGAAGGGGACTATAACTATGAGGAAGAGGAGATTGCATATGAGGAAGAAGAGGAAATGTACCCACTGGACTCTACTTTTACTGAAGACCAAGAAGTACCATATACACCAACACCCACAAGCACTGCCCAAACTTTGATACCCCCTTCAGATGGTTTGTCTTCCACAAGGCCACCACTAGAAAAACAGACATCTCTGCATCAGCGGAGACCTTCACAAGACCAACTCCAACCCCAAAGTACAAGCATGGGTCTGCCGCAAGTAACAAAAGAGGATACAATGCCTTCATTCACTACAGATACTTCCAAGCCTTTGTTTACGTCAACTCAGTCAGATTTGAGTACCACCACGACTACAACAACTACTGCAGTTACTTTAGAGGTCCCAGCTGTAGAGGAACATGAGGAGGCAGAGTCTAGATTAGAGGTGCCCCCAGATGAGCCCCACCCCCCTGAAAAGCCCCCAGAACCAGAGAGCGCACCACCTATGACAGAGGAGAAGCCAGAGGAGCGTCCTGTGCCAAGGTCAATATTTGAAATTTATATTAACACTTTACCTGTATATTACATGATACATCTGATCTTTCTAGAGTCTATAGTTGTTTGTTTGTTTGTGTTTTGCAAAATAATAAAATCAAAACACACACTTACAAGGGCAGGAGGAAAGGAACTGCATTCTAACAACAGAAAATAATAGAAAAAAAAGTAAAAAAAAAAAAAATGTAAAGCCATAGTATTCCAGCCAAAAGATAGACTACAATATTGTAAAATAATGTTGTTTTTATTGCACTGAAAAACACATCCAGAAAATTCCACATTGTACCTTTAAATGATCCAGGAAGCACTGCCATATTTGAACCAGTTAGCAACTTCATCTTCCATAGCATAGTTATTTTAATAGATCCATGCTCTATTTACGCTTACCAGAAGATGTTTGGAAACATATGGATGACGACTTCCGGTGTAGTTAAACCTGCCAAAGTTTTCCATGGTGGATGTGACTCTAATCACATCAGTGTCACTTACAGGCAGCTGGTTGAAACTGTTGATCTGCCGAACATAACAGAACGCTACTGTGACTTCTTTTTTTTTTTTCTTCTTCTAATTCACAAATGAAAAGGCAATTTTTAAAAAATGATGGAAAAAAGAAAGAATACTATGACATCTAGATGCAGAAAACTGCCCCCCCTATCGCTAATAGAGCTCAAAGGAAGTCGTCATTCGCATGTTTCCAAAAATCTTCTGGGTTTGTGACGTAAGCATGAATAGAGCCTATAACCAGATCCTCTCCATATGCAGTGTAGTCAGTCCAGTAAACCACATCTTAAATTGAGGTGCAGTGTTTATCGTCAATATATAACTTTTTTGCAATTACCATTCAATATACAACACTGCATTACATCCCATCTCCACAGAAAGCAAACACAGACAAAGATATGTTATTACCTTATATATCTATATTATCACCTAAAGAATTCTAATGGAAGATTCCTGTTGACAATGCCATCTCAAGGTAAAAGTATAATAATTGATTGTAACACATTCAGTGTTAACACTTTATCTATCTTCCATAGCTTCCCAAGAAGAGAAATGATGGAGCCGGGTCATGCTAGAGCCAAGGCTAACTGGCTAAGACTGTACAGCAGAGTACGGCTCCAGCTTCAGGAGGTACACTATGTTTGTATTAATTTTTTGTTGCATGAAACCATGTCTATTTCTATTGAGAATAGACACAGTTGTGGGGAGGTATTAGGTATTTTAGTTCAACCCATATTTTATAAAACAAAACAAAAAACCTGCATGCATGTATAGTTTAGTCCTGATGTGTGATGTTTTGTCCACTTCATTTATTTTTGTGATGTAAATGTTAATGTTTATGTTTATCCCTTGTATGTTTTGCCATTTCATTATTTTCTTTTCAGTTATTTGCCATCCTCGTAGCGATTTGCATGTTGTCCTTTCTGATTACTCATGGTTGGATCAAACTCTCAGGTGGGTGTGGCCAGCACTATGGACCTACAGTGTAATTGTTTTTCCTTTTTAGAGGCAGTGAGACATATATTGGTGACTCATTTTCTGTCTCCATGTAGAGAATATGTTTTTGTGACTAAATTGTTTTGATCTGCATATGTCATGTTGTATATAATGTTCCTTATTGTCTGTTTGTTATTTCATTATTTAAGTCAGTGGGAGATTGTGCCTTTCAATAACTGTGTAATTTTGATGAATTACATGAACATCAGTAGACTTGTCTCTATGAGAAAGTGCTGGAGGCAGTAATCACAGCTTTGATCTCTTACACTAAGATTCAGTTCCACTTTGTGTTTGTTGTCTGTGTATTTTTATTTATTTATATTTTTTTTAACAATTGTTGCTGTCAGGTCTCGCCATAAAAGATTTCTCATTAGTTTCCAAAATGGACTGGCTTCGAAACTAAAAAAGGCATTGTTGCTGCTTTTGGAGATGGGCAAATATCACCCTAAGCTTTTTTGTCTGTTCTCATATCTTTGTTTTCTTGTAGGCTCGAGGAGAATCTGTGGGCATTGCGTCGCTTCTTTTATCAGCAGGGTAAGTCTGCATGAATGATTTACCCTTACAGTAAAATTGATGGCACCCCAAAGCCAACATTTGTCATTAAATTTAAACATATTCACCTCTTGCTATCCACATTTTTCAGAATGGGTGGCGCTTTGTATAGTATTGACAGTATGCCAGATCTCAGGAAGAGAAAAGCTATGCCTCTAGTTAGAGACTTGGTGAGTTCTTCAATTTAAAATATTGTTTAAAGTACACAAATGTGCATTCTCTGTGGGGTGGGGCAGTGTTTCACAACACAAAGTTGGGTTCTATCTTACCACTTTTTAGTAAATTTTGATTTATTTTCTCTGTTTCCATTCCATTCGGTAATCTTCTCCAGGCCATGGTGAGCAAAGTTTTACATTTTACCAAACATATACTCATTCTAGTTAATACCTAGAGTGACTATAACGGTATGAAATAAACATATCCACATTTTTCCCTTTGACAGTCTTTGGTTCAGAACTCCAGAAAGGCCGGCATCACCTCAGCTCTGACCTCCAGCACCTTGCACAATGAAGAACTGGTCAGTTTGCCTTATTTCCCAAAGCTTCGATTTTTTAAATCAAGTTTCACTAACAAGCTTTCCTCATGTGCTTGCAGAAGAGTCATGTCTATAAAAAGACACTTCAGGCTCTGATATATCCCATTTCTTGCACCACTCCACACAATTTTGAAGTGTGGACCGCCACCACTCCCACGTACTGCTACGAGTGTGAGGGACTGCTGTGGGGCATCGCTCGCCAGGGCATGCGCTGTACTGAGTGTGGCGTCAAATGCCACGAGAAGTGCCAAGATCTGCTCAATGCTGATTGTCTTCAAAGTAAGAATATACTGTACCTTTTCTTAAATTATTCTATTGAAAAGTGTATGCACTTTAACTGAAGTGGAATATTAAATACACCTTAATTAGCCATAATAAAACACAAAAAAGACTTAATTCGTAATGAATAAATAGTTTATTAAGAATGATTCTGAGTTAGCAGCTACTTAATTAATACCCTAACCTTAAATTCTAACCCTAACTCCTTAATTAAGTAGTTACTAAGCCTGTATCATTATGATTAATATTAACATTGTAAATTCAATGATGACTTCTTTTATTTTCAAAGTTTCTTTGTAATTTGGATATACAAAGAACATTAAGCTAGATAGAAAGAACTCTTACTTTGTCCTTATTGAAAATAGGAGCAGCCGAGAAGAGCTCCAAACACGGTGCAGAAGATCGTACCCAGAACATTATAATGGTGCTTAAAGATCGCATGAAGATCAGAGAGAGAAACAAGCCTGAAATCTTTGAACTGATTCAAGAAGTCTTTGCTGTGGCTAAGTCCCTCCATGTCACACAAATGAAGCAGATAAAACAGAGTGTACTTGACGGCACATCCAAGTGGTCGGCTAAAATTAGTATCACAGGTAAGAACAGTTATATTAAAATGTGTGTCAGTAGTGTACATGTTTTTGCCTTTATGTAAATATAGACAACCTGTATGAATGGAGCCCAGCTGCTGTTAGGGCGGTAGAGCAGAAGGTCATTTGACTTGAAAAAATGAATTTGACTCGTGAAAAAATAATTTGAATATATAAAAAGAGACTTTCTCTCTTTTTTTCTTTCTACAGTTTTATGTGCCCAGGGTTTACAAGCAAAGGATAAAACAGGCTCCAGTGATCCTTATGTCACTGTTCAAGTGGGAAAGACAAAGAAGAGGACCAAGACTATCTATGGCAATCTCAACCCTGTCTGGGAGGAGACATTCAATTTGTAAGTCCTACTACCATCTTTTTATTTTAAAGATTTAAATCATTACAATATCATAACTACTTTATTTGGGTTGTAGTGAGTGTCACAACTCCTCAGACCGCATCAAAGTGAGAGTTTGGGATGAGGATGATGACATTAAGTCTCGTGTAAAGCAGAAATTTAAGAGAGAATCAGATGACTTCCTCGGTCAAACTATCATTGAGGTTCGCACTCTGAGTGGAGAAATGGACGTGTGGTACAATCTTGGTAAATCTGATATTTTACTTTCACTATTAAGCCTGTTTATTTCATGCTCTAATTAATATATTTGCTCTATGTAGATAAGCGTACTGACAAATCAGCGGTGTCTGGGGCTATCCGCATGCACATTAGTGTTGAGATCAAAGGAGAGGAGACTGTGGCACCATATCATGTTCAGTATACCTGCCTGCATGAGGTATGACATAGTGTTTGTATTAATAATGTGTAAAGGAACTCATCAATGTTCAGTAATTGCAGTAATTTTTACTCTTTGTAAAAATATACACCCATACATTTATCAGTACTAAAACTTGTATCACGACTAGATATTTATTTGGAGAAGACCACATCATTACACTAAAGAAATTCCTGTTATTCCTGTTTTCAAAAGTAGATCATTATCATTATCATAGGTATTGAGTATTGTCCCTTTTCTTTAGAACCAAAATTGGGTTAGAAATTGGAGTATTGTGACAACTGTACACTTGGAATATACACATGCTATATACATTTAAATCCTCTAAACCTTAAAGAATTACCGGAAAGCATTTAAAGTCTCACTTTGCTCTGACTTATTGTGGGTCTCCGCAGGCTTGAACTCTTCACTTAACCAATTACTCACCAGAAGTGGCCCTTAAACAATAAAAGACCTCGTTATTGTTGCACAGAGGCGGCCATAAACCACTCAGCCAGTATTAAATGTTTATAGCTGCATAATGCATAATGGCTTGTGAACCCAGGCAGCACCTAATGCAGTCTTTCTGAGTGAGCTTTATTGCTTTGTGAGTCTATGAGAAAGTAATCTGCGCATAAACTTTAAATGATTTTAAATGGATTGCCTCTGAGTTATAATCCTTTGTGCATCTCCCCTGAAACGGCTGTCTCATTTTCTCTTCTACAGAACCTCTTCCACTATGTAACGGATATCCAGAATAATGGTGTGGTGAAAATCCCTGATGCTAAAGGTGATGATGCGTGGAAGGTCTATTTTGAGGAGACTCCCCAAGAGATAGTGGATGAATTTGCCATGCGTTACGGAGTGGAGTCCATTTATCAGGCCATGACGTGTGTTTTGTGCACTTTACTTATTGCTTTATGATCGCAGCTTTCTTTGAATTTAATATGTTTAATATCTTTTGCTTTATTACAGCCACTTTGCCTGCCTGTCATCCAAGTACATGTGCCCTGGTGTACCTGCCGTAATGAGTACTCTTCTGGCTAATATCAATGCCTACTACGCTCACACCACACAGGCCACCAACAATGTGTCAGCCTCCGACCGATTTGCTGCCTCTAATTTTGGGGTAAATTAACAAATCAAATGTAGTCATATGATTTATTGATGAATTATGGATACATTTATTAATATGGGAGATTGTTTGGGCTTTTACAGAAAGAAAGATTTGTGAAGCTCTTGGATCAATTACACAACTCACTGAGGATTGACTTGTCCATGTACAGGGTAAGAAAGCTTTTATCATTATTATTTGCTATTTTACCCCTTTTTCTCATGTTTTACTTTTACTTACTTTATTTATGTATTTTGTGTTTGTAATTGAGCAGTGAATAGTTTTAATTATGCAGACATCCTCTCTTTAACATGCACAGACACATTTACTGTTGGAGACACAGTCTTCCCACACACTAATAAGTGGACAGTCTTGGTGCAAAATTGTGTGGCCATGATAGCTTCCATTTCCAGCATAAAAAACACACCCATACACACACAAACAGAGGCGGATGGGAAATTACGCTTTGATTTTGTATCTATCATTACAGAATAATTTCCCAGCCAGCAGTCCTGAGAGGCTCCAAGATCTCAAGTCCACGGTGGACCTCCTCACTAGTATCACATTTTTCAGGATGAAGGTACTGTTCATCTTAACTGTTTCCAAATTTACGAACCCCTCTTTGCTTGTTGCCATTTTATTTAAATGTACTTTTAGGTTCAAGAGCTTCAGTCCCCACCCAGAGCCAGTCAAGTAGTGAAAGACTGTGTGAAGGCTTGTCTCAACTCCACCTACGAGTACATTTTCAACAACTGCCATGAGCTGTACAGTCGCGAGTATCAGACTGATCCGGTGAGCTAACAGTGCAATAAAAGTATAAGTAATATATATAATTATACATAATAGGAACATGGTTAGTTATTATTTATTATTATTTATTATGCTATTCCTTAACAATACTATTATGCTTATCTTCTTTGTCTCTATAACAAAATCATTGTTACTTTTGTAGTATACTCATATGGTCAATTCTATAATAATCCTGGATACATTATTTGAGTTTGAATCATGAAATTTGTCACAATGCCTTTTTTTCCCCTTTTTTTAAATGATCTGGTTGGTATAATAATATAGCCTGTATTACAGTTTGTACTGAACTGTAGCAGTTCTACAGCACCCACATGTCTACAGTCCCCATCACAGTCCATGCTGGCTGCTCTCTTTGATGCTTGTGCCTGTTGTGGATTTCACCTGGGATTTCTCGAAGTGCTTCACATCCTCATTAAAGCACAAGTCCCGTTCAGACTCCCTTGAGAATTTCAAATAAGCACTCTCACTTTGAATTAAACATTTCATCCTGAGGGACATTGCTATATTTTGTCAGTCTTTGCAAGATGATTTTCCACTTTTCATCCCCTGTTTTTATTTATTTCGTAACACACCTCTTATGCTAATTCACAAAAATCAAACTGACAGTTGACAGTTTTATGCTGAGAAACAAAATAAACTGTAGTTGAAAATCTTTCATGAGGAAGTTCTCATGTAAAAGTTAACCAGTGTACCAGTACCTTTTGAATCTAATTAAAATACTGTTTTCCAGGCCAAACAGGGAGCAGTTCCTCCAGAGGAGCAGGGACCCAGCATTAAGAATCTGGATTTCTGGTCAAAACTGATCACACTAATTGTGTCCATTATTGAAGAAGACAAGAACTCCTATACTCCTTGTCTTAACCAGTAAGATCACCACTTTTATGTTTTACATTTTAATGTGACACAAATCTGATGTCTAATTTGTATGTGTTTGTGTTGTATGTCCAGATTTCCACAAGAACTTAATGTGGGTAAAATCAGTGCTGAAGTCATGTGGAACCTGTTTGCTCAGGATATGAAGTATGCAATGGAGGGTAAGTACAAAAAGTTTATCTTCTCTTCATTGTGGAATAAATGAGATACACTGTTCTCTGTGCCGTCCGCAAAGTTGTTATAGAAACAGGGGGATGGTAACATAAGGATTTGACAAGGGCCGTTAATACTGATAAAAGGTGTATCTCAGCGAAATATGTTTTTTATAGAACATGAGAAAAATCGCTTGTGCAAGAGCGCAGACTACATGAACCTACATTTCAAAGTCAAGTGGTTGTACAATGAATACTGCAAAGACCTTCCCTTTTTCAAAAGCAGAGTGCCTGAATATCCTGCGTGAGTACAAGTCTTTTCTGCATCTATTTTTAAGCATTGGCATGACCGTGAATACTGATCCATGTGTCATAGGTGGTTTGAACCATTCGTCATTCAGTGGCTGGATGAAAACGAGGAGGTGTCACGTGACTTTCTACATGGTGCTCTGGAGAGAGACAAAAAGGATGGGGTAAAACATAAACAGTTGTACCTTATCTTCACCTGTCTGCTTTAGATACTAAGCTCAGAAAGTAATTCTGGCAAATATAATACATTACATTTCTGACAAATTTCATTTTATGACCCAAACTAATATATCCACTGCCTCCCCCACTGTCTATGTGTTTGCACACTCCTGTCTGCTCTGAAAAAGAAATTTTAAGACCAACTGATATAACGGCTATTAAGTTCTCATATCTACAAGATGCTGAAGTTTAAGCATTAGGAACTTAGTCAGTTCTATTGTACAAACTAATATTAATATTTATATATAATATAACAGTATAATATGATACACACTGTCTATATTCACTGTATTGATACAAAACGATACAGTGAATAGATAAAATACTTTGTGATAGTCAGTTTTTGGCAAAACATGCCTTGTTACTTTGTCTGATTTTTGAGGAGGATGGCAACATTGACTATATAGAAATATCTGTGCATTATTATCAGGTATAAAGTGGAATATAAGTTAAAAATAGACATGTTCTGTTATTCAGTTCTGTTTGAAGACAACCTATAGGTGTAAAGAACTATCTCATTGAGGTGATTTAGACTAGAGTGTGATAACTTTTTGACAGCAGGATATGCGTTTACTCTAGTTTTAGCAGCATGAAGTCTGTCCTCACCTCATTACCCAGGCTCCCCAGGGTAACACCTGCACACCTCAAGCCAATTTGAGACTGTCTCAAACCTGCAGCCAATTACAAGACAGACAGCAGTGCTCTCACCTGTCACCGCAGACCTGTCTAACTAGCTGCAGGCCCTGCCATTTCTGTGGGTCTGAAGGCTCTGTGCATGTGGCTGAAAGAAATCAAAGATCCGGATTAAAATAGCTCACAATACCAGCTGACTTATGGAGCCATCCTCAGAGCCTATATATAGTTTTCAGCCAGTGGCTTGTGGCTACTCATAACCCATAGACCAAGGGTTCTTAACCTTTTCAGTCTTGGGGCCCAAGGTTTTCTGAACAAAGTAACTTGGGGCCCTTTCTCATATTAACTGTATTATATTGTACTGATTGTGGGGCCCCCAAGGAGGTGGTCCCGGCCCTACTTTGGGCCCCGGCCCTATGGTTAAGAATCGCTGCCATAGATAATCAGCAAACTTCAAAAACGTAAAATAAATAAACTGTAATAACTATGCTGATTACTCCATAACAATGTAACTAATTATGCTTACTTAAGGTATTCATGTAAAGCAGACAAAATTTATTTACAACTCAATTATTCTAAACGAATATTGTACTAATAATATTTTTTAATAATACTCAAAGCTCTAGAATCATTTGTCCATGCTCACTCAAACAAAGTCAAAACAAGTATTTAAGCAGAAGCAGAAATGTTTAAATATATGCAGCCCTGTTATATTTTTTTAACTTACATAATATGTTTTATCTGCTTACAGTTCCAGGTTACCTCTGAGCATGCCCTCTTTTCCTGTTCAGTGGTGGATGTGTTTTCTCAGCTCAATCAGAGCTTTGAAATTATTCGTAAACTAGAGTGTCCTGATCCACAAATAGTTGGCCACTACATGAAGAGATTTGCCAAGGTACTTAAAAGTCGCACTGATGAAATTTGAAAATATTTTAGAAATATTGTTATGATCATATTAATGTCCTTCCTAATCTTTTACAGACTATCAGCAATGTTCTGCTGTCCTATGCCGATGTCATCTCCAGGTTGTTTCCGAACTATGTCACAATGGAGAAAGTGGTAAGTGATCAAAATAGTATTTACTGTGATAGTTTCACTGTTTTTGTACTACTGTCTTGGTCAACCTTTCTGTTTGAAAAGTAGATTTTAGATTAAGACAGAGTATGGTTTTAATCCACAGCCATGCATCTTGATTAACAACATCCAACAACTGAGAGTCCAGCTAGAGAAGATGTTTGAAGCAATGGGTGGAAAAGATGTCAGTATTCAGTTTATTTTAACTTTTTTAATAATGATAAATATGTATTAATTTTAGAAATGTTTTTGTTTTTTATCAGCTGTGTGTTGAGGCCAGTGACATCCTGAAAGATTTGCAGGTCAAACTCAACAATGTAATGGATGATCTCAGCAGAGTCTTTGCTGTCAGGTAACCACACATATACACCTACACTAAAACAGACAGAAAGCAATTTATATAATTATTTATTAGAATATATTACTATAGGCGGGATCTAATGGAGCAACATATGGACAGAAAGCCTCATGTCCAAGTGGCAAGTGTTAGGATAGATCATTGAAAAGAAATATTTCCAAACTTCTATTAATGACTCCCAGTACTATATTTGTTGTTAGGGAAAAGCTGTGAGTTTTTGACAGGGACATGTGGTTCTGTGTCGCTTAAATGGACAATTGCCTAAGGTTCAAGGATACAGGCCTGTGTGTTACATTGCTTCATTACTGTAAATGCAGCAGTTATAAATGTTTTGAATGAAATTACATTTGAATTAAATCCTTTGATTCTTGTCTAGTTTCCAGCCCCACATTGAGGAGAATGTGAAGCAGATGGGAGACATCCTGGCTCAGGTAAAGGGAACCTCTAATGTGGGTAATGCCAGCAGTGTGGCCCAGGATGCCGACAATGTCCTCCAGCCCATCATGGAGTTCCTGGACAGCAAGTGAGCCAATTTACCCAAAGTTTCTGTTTTAGCTTAGAAAACTTTCCAACTGAATACACAGAAAAGTTTGGTTTTGTTATATTATAACTCAATTTGATTTGTTTATTCTTCATCTTCTTTCCCTCCTCAATCTTGCACTCACTCTTTCTATCCTGGCAGCCTGACGTTGTTTGCAAAGATTTGTGAGAAGACTGTGCTAAAGCGCGTGCTGAAGGAGCTGTGGAAGCTGGTCATGAACACCATGGAGAAGACCATTGTTCTGCCTCCGCTGACAGACCAAACGGTGAGATCTTCAGCACCATTCATTAGTTACTACTGTATAATTACATCAGATATTATTTAAATTCACTATAAATTGGATTGGATTCTTGTTCTTTAATAAAACAAACTCAAAATACACTTAAACTCCCGGAGCTGCACCAAGAGAACTGGAGGAGGAATTGAAAGATGTAAGAGGGGATTCTGAAGGCAGACATTTTTTTTTGTTTCAAGTTGTCATCCCAATAAACAAATGGCAGCTGACAGTGGATTAAACTGCTTTACATCATCTCTCATGCTTCGTGTTCATATCTCCACCCCCACACACATTATATTCAGCAACCCCTCAAGAGCTTTCACCAAGCAAAGCAATAAAAACTCCAAATATAGACAATAGGAGTACACCATATCATTCTAACACATGGCTGCTCTTCAGTATGTCACCCAACAGTCACTTGGACAGATCTTTTACGCTGACAAAACAGCAGCAATTTCCTAAGATCTCTGTTAAAAAAATAATACATGGAAAGCAGCCTCTTAATTTCCTTTTTTTTTTGGGTTTCCGTGTTTTTATTTTCATTTATTATTTAATACTGAAAGAGCCTCATATCACTGTATTGTATTGAGAAGGGAGTCTAGATGTATTGTAATCTGCCTTTTGGTTATATAACACTAATTTGTATGTATTATAGAGAGAAAAGAGTGATTTGGTGTGATGTTGCCTCTGACTTGGGCCCAAACGTGTATTTCTTGATTGATGTGGGGCTCTTTACATTTTAACTGACCCTTCTCTCTGGTTGTTGTTGTGATTATTATGACATCCTGCTCCCACCGCTCTCCCTCCACAGATGATTGTAAGTACATCACTCCTGCGTGTGTGTCTGTCTGTCCGTCTACGGTGGTTTGGGTTTCTCTGCTCTATGTGGCTGCAAGTCTCCCTCTATTTATTTATGACTACTACCCCACTTCACACCTCTTCACCCCCAATGTTCTATTTCCTAATTATCTTTCTACCTTCTTGTCTCAATCCAGTCCTGTCTCTCTTGTGTAGAGACAGAAGCATGGTGCATTCTTGACTGGTTCTAATAGGTCCCACCCCTCAATATTCTCCACCAATCAATGCCTACCTCTGCTGTCTCTTCTTTCCGATCACTTCAGACAGGAAGTGGTCTACTCTTTATTGCGTTGCAGTGTGTCCTTTTACCTGGACTTTGTTTAGGTCAATCTTGTAGTGGTTTGATATAGGCCTTTGCTCCCTCTCTCCCCTCTTCTCTCTGTTTGACCTGTGTCCTGCCTTACTCCTTCCTGTGGGTTTGTTTGCTTGCATCTGATCTATTTCAACAGCGCAGTCTCCTCAGTATACTGTACCACACTGTACACTGTACTGTATGTCTCTCTGCAGACTGTCGGTCTGTTGTGATTTGACTTGATGTTTTGTTGTGAACCATGATGACTTGTCTAATACAAAATATATTTAATGTTGTATTTATTTACTTAAATAATTAATTTGTCACTATAAACAACTGAAGTAAAAAGTAGACTGACTTCACTGAATCCAACCATTCATATTAATAAGCAGCTAGCTAATGCCAAGTATCATGTGACACAAATGGTATCTGATAGATTTTATCTGTACAAGGCTGTATAAGGGAAACAGTTTGTTGCTGCACCCAGCCAACTCACATGTTATGGTCTCCTCCTTGCTGTGCCTGGTATACTGCGCAGGTTATCGCTAAACAAAATGGACCACTGGTTTATTTCTGCTGTACATGTTGTATATACATGTACTGTTATGTTGAGGGGAAACCAGACATGGACTGTGCACTGTTTACCCTAATAACCCCATGCTCTCTTTCCAGGGGAGACTGAAGAGCGCATCTCACAGTGATGTAAGGACTAAACCTTCAGATCAATGTGTCTCGTCTCTCCTTTATGTCCTCGTCTTGTCTCTCTCCCTCAGCTCTCCTGTCAGACAAACCAGTGGAATTTTTTTTTTTTTCACTTTTGCTTTTATCTTCCTTGATACTGCTGGATACCACATTTACATAAGCTGCCAACTACAATAGTAGCAGTCACTCACGTAGATTCTATAATACACTTTTATTATAATATATTAATATCTTCTGTATAGCCTCCGAGATCATGTAGCAAGCCCCATCCAGTTACATGTTGTGTGTTTAGGTTGAATCTTGTTGGCATGCGTCCGTGTCTGCACAGTTCTGTCTACCTGTCCTACCGCCACAATGAACTGAGGCGCTTTTCCCTTTTCTTCATACCGAGGTGTCTCTATGTGTGTGGATGTGTTCTGCAGTGTAATGTGGTGGAACTACACATACATTTGATAACAGGGCTTGAAGGAGAAAGTGCCTTGACAACAGTAAAGCTGTTTAGAGTAAGATTATGTAACCGTGTGTGTTAGGAATGTCACTGTCCTCTGTGTGACAATAAAAACTCTGTTCCAGTCATTTTCATGCTAATAACGGTACATTTCTCCTGTCTGCCTCTGCCTGTCTCTTCCTTTATCTGTGGCTATTTCACATTTCAGGGAACACAGCTCATCTTCAACGCTGCCAAAGAGCTAGGGCAGTTGTCCAAGTTGAAGGTTTGTTACACAATTAAGATGTTTTTATAGATAAAGACATTGCTGAAAATATAAAAATGGATGACTGATTTTGAATTGCATTGTTTGATTGTAGGAACACATGGTTCGGGAGGAGGCCAAGGCTCTCACACCAAAGCAATGTGCTGTCATTGAGCTGGCTCTAGACACCATTAAGGTCAGGAATAACTGAATAATATAGATTGTTATATATAAAATCAACTTTTTAGAGCTTTAAAAAATGTTGTAATGCTGTTCCTATTTATATTTAGCTTGCTCAGTTGTATATCAGATTCATGCATGTTTGAGTAATTCTGTTTACTGAAATTGTTGCTTCAGTGTTCAAAATGGTAGTTTTCAATTGACCTCTTTCTTTTGTTAAGCCATTTTAGATCAGTATTGTGTTTTACAGTGAACACATTCCTCCGATGATATTATAGTTAAATACTAAATATTGGGAAAGCACAATATGTCTTCTTTAAGATGTTAACTGTTTTGTTTTTATGTTTAGCAATACTTTCATGCTGGTGGTGTGGGTTTGAAGAAGACATTTTTGGAGAAGAGTCCGGATCTCCTGTCCCTTCACTATGCTTTGTCCCTCTACACTCAGGCTACAGACAAACTCATAAAGACCTTTGTCCAATCACAAAACGCACAAGGTAATGCATTCAAAATCATTTCCACACAAACACATTTGTACAGTTATTTTCTCAGTTCTACTTTGTTTACTGTGTCACAGTTAAATACATATTAAACAAAAAGTGATTATATTTTTTGTGACTTACAGATACAAAATGGAATAAACACTTAAAACATTTGATATTACATATTGCACAGGAGAAATAATGTTTAGGGTTGAAAACATAATCATACATACTGCACTATATGTCACTGAATATGAATGTGAGTGTGTGCTTCTTCTGTGTAATTTTCCTGTGTGTCCGTGTGTCTCCTCTCTGTCCACTCTGCCGCTCTGCCCCATCTGTGGGCCAGTGTTCGGCGGGAAGGGGGTGAGGTTCACCAGTAGTGAGGATATTTACCCAGACAAGGGTATGTGACACACAGGACAAAGAGCCTGAGACACGGAAGAGATATCCTCAGACCAAAGCTCAGCTCCCTCCACCCTCCACCCCACCATGAACATCCTGATGCCCTGCCTGACCCATGTCAACAGACAGATTATTAAACATTCCCCTCTTTCACTCTTTATTCAAATGCATATTACAATAAAGACACTGACTTTATGCATTGATGCATGAAACGTACACACTGATGTCTGTGTGAATGGTTCTGCACACAATACATACACTCAGGGGGTATGTATGGGCAGACCAAAGCATGAAGTGTGGACATCAGAGCACAGAAGAGAAATGCATTAAAGTGTAAAGGAATCCTAATCCAGCATGATGTCACTCAAGCCCCAGGGCCCAGCGCGCATGAATGTGAAACTGAACAAAAGCAATGGGACTGTCTGACACTGCAGATGCCTGCCTCGTTTACTCGAGATTATGAAATATTTGGATCTTCTGGAATTATATTTTTTTACAGTTAGTCTTGGGGAGGTCCTAGTATTTGTCTACTTGGTGTAGAAAGACACTCAGAGCTTTCACGTGCTGTAGAACCCCCTCCTACAGCAGCCTGCACAACTGACCTAAAGCAGCCAATCAGAAACATGCTGTCAGGTCAGGTGATCAGATTTGTCACTTGGAGTTAATGTCAAAGAACATGACCAACTCTCGCACA